GATTTGTGGCTAATGGAATTCTAGATGTGGAATGATGTGTGTGATTATTTTAAAATATATACTACCAGTATGTAAAGATCAAATTTTTAGTGAAGGTGGCAGAGAAAACTTATCACTCACTCACTTGCTCACTCACTCACTTAGGCAGTTATTAAATGATGTGTGTAGCCACTCTCTTGGAGAAAGTGAAAGAAGTAGGACAGCTGGGCTTCCTCCTAGAAGTTTGTGTGTACCATTTTAATCCAGTTTAAGAATATAGCATGACTCTCAGGAAGAGGTTCTATAGTTATTTCATGGATTCAGGGAATGGGAGAAGTGGGAGGCAAAAGGACCCTTTAAGAGGGAAATTGGAACAATAAATTTCTTTTCCATCAATAGTTCTTTGAAAAAAAAATGTTCGTCTCTTTAACTGGAATATGTGTCTTAGCTAGACTTCAGGTGCCTCACACCAAACATAAGAAGGATGTTGCAGCGTGTGCTTCTGTAAATCACCATGTGGGACCAGTGTGTATTTTGTTGGTGTGCTCAGTCTCAATGGAGACAGAACTGCGTTCGCCGAAGCTCTCCTTGCTGCCCCTCTGGTTCGCAGGAACTGTTGCAAGAGTGGTGTCCTACCAGGAGTGATCTGATGATGGCAGCATTGGGCGACCTATCTCGTTCCCTCAGCACCCGCTCTGCGTGCGCAGGTCCTGGACCTTGCTCCACAGCAGTGTTTGGATTTCAGACTGTCACTCAGACTTTTCTTCTGCTTAATGACTCTATGTATGTAAATGACTCTGCTTTTTTTTTTTTTTTCTGTGGAAGAGGTCCAATCTATCATTCCTGTTTTGGTTTTCAGTTAATGATTATATGTAATTATATCCAAATAAAATATTTATAAATAATTACATATAATTAGTGGTATGTAAAACTTGGAATTCATGAATGTCAGCTGTGATGAAAGGTACCCTTCAATTTGGGAGGTGTTAGTCTTACTATTATTATTTGTTTCTGTTTCAAAGGCATTAGTGGCCAAGAATCTGCAATTCTCTTTTACTGGTGTTCTTAGAAGGTTCAGGGTTGTGTTTTTGTTTGTTTCGTCTTTGGCTTTTTAAATAATAGGGAGGATATTTATTTGGTAAATCTCTAGGGATTATATAATAGCTCCACATCTGGAGAATCCTCTGAGGAAAACAAATGATATTTTCTTAAAAGTTTCAGAAGCAGTTAGTTAGCCTTGAATTCTGAAAGGTCGTCAAGGGGTCACCCAGATCAGCTCTAAGCAGGCTTTGCATTTAATGCCAGACGGAGGAAATGAGCAGTTGCCCCTCCTCCCCGTTAGTGACCATGACCAAAGCAGCCTGCATTTTGAGGTCTCAGCGGCTACTGAAAACAGAAAAAAAAAATATTCCCAGCCAGTCTGTAACTCAAATTTTGCCAACTCCTGAGGTTCAGGTACATTTTACCATTTTTCTTTACCTGTTAGCCACACTTAGAGCTACAAATAGAAAACTGTCTCAGAGCAAAAGGTCTTAATTCTCTGGGGAGAGTGGGCTGTAGAAACAGCATCTAGGCACCTTCCATGGTTGAGGACAGTAGGAAACCAACAGGCAAGGTAGAGAAAGGAAACGAGCAGGTGGAGCGGTGTAAGGCAGAGTTTCTGGAAGGACTCTCAGACGAGGAATGGGGCCTGAGAGTGTTCCGAGTGATGGGAAGGGGGGCATGCAGTGGCTCTTCTCTCTGAGGTTGCCCTGATTCTAGGAGCACATGGGCTAAAGATACAATAATGGATTTAGCTTTGAATCTTTAGTTGAGTTAATGCAGACCTTTTAATTCCCCTTAGAACGGGATGGGATGCCAAATCTATGTGAAGACTACAATAGCACACCAGGTTTTCTCAGGGGCTCCCTCAGCCTGTTTTGATTTAGGTCATAACCATGACCTTGCATTATGTATTCTATGATGTAGCATAAGGGAAATGAAAGATGCTCTTAGTAGGCTGACCTAAATGCTCCTGTAACTGTCTCCATATATGTATTTTGGAGGCTTTGAACATGGCAGCACATTTCCCCCCCACAAACACTTCTGTATGCAATGTTAAGGCTCCAAGGATATCACATCATGTGCTAGAAATGCAATATACATTGGGGAATTCACTTAAAGACACACTAAGAAGATGCTATGAGATTCGAATTTTCCTGTTTGACTTCTATTTTTCCATTTTTTTGGTTGCAAGGGAAAATCATGCATCTATTAATCTTTTACCTGGAAACTTTAAAGTACTGAGCTCTAGATCTCTTAAATGTCACCATGTAGACTGGTCCTGGGTAAATCATTTCATCTCCTTAAACTTGAGTTTTCCTTTTGATGAAATAGGAAGCTGAACTTTCAGTCTTCTTGTTTTATGAATGTATGACCATTTCACTTCATTGCGTTCAGTATTGTGCAAATTTTTTTAGAGGACAGACTTTGGAGGGCTATATTTTAACTTCCCAAAACATATTCTCATCTCTTATTTTGGCTCTTCTCATGAGGGGCCTCTGTGATAATTCCTTCTCCCAATCCCCTGCTACTCCTGGTTCAAGTCTATTCTAAATCACTCAGCTCTCTTGTCTCTAGGCTGCCACTTCCTTCTAACTGGTCTCTGCTTTCACTCTTGCCCCTCTATAATCTATTCTTTACCCAGCACCAGCATGATCTCTTGAAAACTAAATTAAAACATGTCTCTCTCCAGGTCTAAACCTTTCAATGACTCCATTGTCCTTGGAAATACAAATCTATTGCTGCCACAGGGCCTTTGCACTTCCTCTGCTGGGAACACTCTTTCCCCTAGATCTTTGCACAAAAAGCTGCTTTTCAAGCAGGTTGCAGTTTAAATATTCCTCCCTCAGAGAGGCCTTCCCTGACCTCGTCATCTAAAATAGCCATGTCTTTTACTTAATATCTGACACATTACATGGTTTTATTTATATAGCATATTCTACCTGAAATTCTTCTGTGTGTTGATTTTTGTTGTTATTGTTGTCTGTCTCATCTCAGTATAGCACATATGCTTCATGATGATGGGGACTTCTTTGCCTTACTTATGGCATATCCTTAACAGCTAAAGCAGCGTCTGCCAAATAATAGGTGCTCAGGGAGTGTTTGTAGAATAACTGAATGAATGAATGGATGGATGCCACAGGCAGAAAAACTACATGCTGGAGAGGTTGTGGTCACATAGCTAATTAAAAGCAGGGCTTAGACTAGAACTTAGGCCTCCTCATGTTTCTTTCCTCCAGGTCACACTGCCACACAACAGGCCTAACTTAGAGATAATTCTTTCATTCACTATTTGTTTATTTATTCACCAAATACTTAGGGAGCTCTTATTATGTTTCAGGCACTATTCTATATCAATGGTTCTCAACCAGGAGTGATATTGCTCCCCTGGGAACATTTTTTAATGTCTAGTGACATTTGTGGTGGTTACCACTGGGGTGGCTGGTGGTACTGGCATCTAGTAAGTAGAGGCCAGTAAACATTCCACAATATACAGGACCTGTCCCTCCTCCCTCCACTCAATAAAGACTTGTTTAGCCTAAAATGTCAGTAGTGCTGAGCTTGGGAAACCCTGTTCTAGATAAACAGACAGATACATGTTCTTGTGGAGTTTATAATCTAGGGTGGAGAGACAGATGACAAATGGTACATACTATACATAAATAAGTTGAAGACCATGTCAAAAAGTGGTGTGATGGAAAAGAAAGAAAAGTCAGAACAAAGTAAGGAGTGCTGGTGGGCACTGTGGGTAATGGGGGTAGGAAGGGCTATAATCTTAGCTTCCTTGGGAGGTGAACCAGGAAAAGAGAATTTGCCTCTGGAGGTTTAGCTCCATGACCTGGACTGACCAGTCCTTTGGGTCCAGCCCAGTGCTGCAGGGCATTATTAGCCCATGCAACTGCAGATCATCCTTACACTGAAAAAACAGAAAATCCTCCTGAACCAGGGGGCATGTTAACCTCCATATAAAAATAGAGCCAACTCCCATGGGCTAGAATATTATTTTCTGTCCCTTTACAGGAGCGTTTAAATTCTCCTCTTTCTCAACACCTTCAGCACTCTGTCATCACTAATGCAGGACAGCGTTAATTTGATGCAAGTTTTATTGCTCATTGTCAGCATCTCACTTTTCTCTTAAAGCAAAAATAGCGTGATTTCAGCCTCTCTCAAGAGCATTGTGAGTTTTTGGTTGTACAGAGATTTCTGTCTGTCTAGGTTAATTTTTGAAACTCAACAAAAACAATTGTGGGTTTTAATATCTTGGGAAAGTTGTAGTGGTTGATTCTGATAAAACTCAGGTCAATAAAATGGTTCTTACTATATATATTCATATGCGTATTTATACACACATACATTATATATGTGTGTGTGTATATAGATCGATATACATTAAAGATCTCACTAAAAAACATACTAAAATTGTGGTTTTGGTAGTTTAGTAGGGCATGTACTTGCTTTATTGACCTCTCTCTTATTTCTTTACCAAGCACTGGCATCCCATAGGTACTCAACAAAAGTTTGTTGAATTAATAAATAAACTGCAAAAATCAGTTTGGGATTACTAGGTTCTAAGTTATTTTTTCACATATGCACGAACTTATTGATATCACTGAAACACAACTTAGTAAATATAATAGCATATTCTTACAGCATTATTTCTGTGACATATTCATTTATTTCTAAATCTGTGTTTTTTTTATTTTTAAAATTATTGCATGGGATCTGATTTGACTCATGGGGTTTCTGAATCTAGCAAGCATAGGATTTTTAGTAGTTGATACCTTTTCTGTATACTTTTAACTTAGGAAGGGATTATTAAGCAAGAAAATAGATTTCAATAAATGTTTTTGATTCAAATGTATGTAAATTGACATAGTTGAAGAAATTATGCACAGGGCACCATTTTATTTTGGGTGCCATTTTATTCTATAGAAGAACTTGTTCACCAGTTTACTGAATGTGTGTTGATTTTTTTCCAGTGCTATTTCTTTACAATTGAGTTTGGCCTTTGCAAACAGGAAGGTCAACTGCGGGCATATGGAGCAGGACTACTTTCTTCCATTGGAGAATTAAAGGTATGAAACTGTGAATGAAAGTATCCTTCCCAAGCAAACTGGTTCAAGGTCATGGAAAATATCGATTTGTTTGTGCATTTCAGCTTGCAGATACTCCATAAATATTTAACACAGAGGAGTTGGCACCTCGATGTGGGTGCTAACCTAACTTTTTGCTCCTCTGAAAATGGGTCGTGCCTTTCTGGGTTTGTGGTGTGACTTAAATGGATGAGCAGCTATGTGCACAATCAACAGGAATGACAAATGTATGCTCAGTGATGGCTAACAAATGCCTGCCCTAAGTTTAGTGCTGAAAAGTGGGTAATGAGCTGGCAGTGATTCTGATTAAAATTCCCTTAATTTTAAGGCTGCCTTGGCTACTCTTACTTCTGTCACCCCCATGGCTCCAATGGACTCCCAGCATTTATTTCCCAAAGGGAAACTTGACATTATTTTAGCTTCTTCAAAATTAATGTGTATTAAAACATATGTGGACAGATACAATTTAGAAAAAGACTAAATAAACATATGGTCTGAGAGGTATCTAACATGTGTAGGGATGCCTAAGGAGTGCTATTTTTTTTGCTTTCAAATACAGTAAATTGATCATTTATTCAGAAATGTTGGGGTCTGGGGCATCTGATAATTTAAATATTCTGATTACTTAAGAATTACTATCCATATCATCAGGGGATAGTAAGTTCAATGAATTTAGAATGAGATGTGAAATATAATCTGGAAATGGTACTGAAAATAATTTAATCTTTCTTTGATTATTCGGACTAAGATCAGAATTTTGGGCTATCTTAGGCTTTTTATTTTGAGTATTTATTATCCTTATATAATTAAGAAATATATGAAAATTGGAACTTTTTGGTTGTTTCTGTTCTTGAAAGATGTAACTTAACTGTAATTTTATCAAGTCCTCTCAATTTATGACCCCATTCAGTCATCCAACAAACATTTGGTTGGGTACCTACTAAGTGCCATGTACTGTGTCAGTCACTGGGGGATACAGATACAAATAATAGTGATGAAGAATAAGAACAAGAAGCCCTGGCTGGTGTGATTTGGTTGGGCGTCATCCCGTGCACTGAAAAGTTGCCGGTTTGATTCCTGGTCAGGGCACATGCCTTAGTTGTGGGCTCAGTCCTCGGTAGGGGGCGTGCAGGTGTCAGCTGGGATAAATGTTTGGCTCTTACATCAATGTGTGTCTCTCTCTCTCCTTCTCCCTTCCTCTCTCTACCAAAAAATAAATAAAAAAATAAAAAAATAAATCAATAAGAAGTCTTAAATAAATAAGAAGAAAATGACAGCTACCTCAATGGACACTTAAATAGAACTTAGTATTTTAAGTACTTTAGGCATATAAACCCATTTAATTCTCACAACAACGTACTGAGATAAGCAATATTATCATTACAGATGAGAAAACTGTGGCATAAAGACATTAAGGAATTTGCCCGAGGTCGCACAGCTAATAAGTGTTGGAGCTGGACCCAACCAAGTCCAGGCAGTCTAGGCTCCAGGCTCTGAACGCTTAACCGTGAAGCTACACTGCCTGGGACCCCTGCTATTAAGGAGCTTACATTCTAGTGCAAGAGATAACCAATCATAATACAGACAGTGTGGCAAATGTGCCTGTCACATAGTGGGCCATGCCAGGGAAGGCTTCCTGACGAGGGCCCAGCTGCCCCGGCTGAGATGAGATAACAGGTAATATTTAACACACCAAAAGCCTGATGTAATGTGATGAACTATTTTTTACTAAATTCTCAACAAAAAAATCCGTTTGGGGTTGATCTCCGCTCAGTGGCCAGAACCCACAGAAATAGAATGAAGTCATATCCCTGAGAGACCCAGGCCTTCTATAGAGTGCTTTTTTTATTTCCCCGAAAAAAGAATTAGCCAGAAAACGATGTAGCTCTTGAGCTACATCTATTTACATTCTCCTCAGAGGGTTTACAAATTACGCCAGAAACAAAAGAAACAAATCTCTCTCATTGCCCCAACTTTCGACAGGGTCCTCTGATCTGGTTAATGAGGCATGTGTAGGCAGCATTGGGGTGAATCTGTTGTTTTTGTTTCTATTGGTGCGGACGGAATCGTCTGGAAATGGAAATCAGCCAGAAACATGTACACAGAAGGGCATCGTCTGCCATGAATCTTCCTGTTCTGGTCCATCACCTCTGGTCATTAGCATTCTTCCATTCTCAAATTTCAACACTCCAACATCCCTGTGATTGCTACTTTGGACCATTTTTACAATTCAGGCATTCTTTCTACAAGACAAATCTTCTGATCATTCACAGAGAATACATAATGTGATGTAGATGCTCTCCGTAGCAGCCCTCCCCTCACCCCATCCCTGCCCTGCTCCGCACCGTCCAGAGCCCTCTCACAGCACTTCTGAATATTTCAGTCTAACTTTTACTTAAATGAACAAATGATAATCTTTGATCTACATAGGGATAATTTTATTAATAGCATTATAATAATTCCAATGAAAACACTCTTAGAATTTTGAATCTAGTTACCTTATGTGGTAAAATATTTTTGCTGTTCCAACTGCAGCCCAAATGTAGGCCCCAGCTAAGTTGTTGGAAGCTTTGGTGTAGTCTTTATAATTTTTACATAAATATCCACAATTCACCTTCTCTCCTTGAACAGAACACGTTTTAAAATTTGTGCTTTAAGGGGCTTGGTTTTCCTGGGCATAAACGTTGCACTTCAGAGCCGAGCAAGTATTTCCAAGTAGTTCTATAGTTTGGAGGATAACTTTCATTTTTCTTATTTTTTGATAACAACAATGCTTTTTTTTTTTTACAATTTTTGACAATGCTTCTTTTTATCTTTCAAGAGAAAAAACAACATGGAAAAGCTTGTACAAGCTAACATAAATCTGATAACCATAAAGATTATTTTTTTGAAATTTCAGCAATGGTTAATCTCTCTTTCGTTCTAGTTATCTGTTCTGTCACGAACTTTCAGAAATTCTAAAAGTGTGTTTATCAGAGACAAGTACCATATGATTTTACTCGTGGGGTAGTTAACGAACAAACTGAACTAAAGAACAGAGACAGACTCATAGATAGAGAGCAGGCAGACAGCTCTGGTGGAGGGGGGTGGAGGGATTGAGAAAGAAAGAAAAAAAGAGAGAACTCATGGACGTGGACAGCAGTGTGGTGATTGGGGGGGGGGGGGAGGGGGAAGAGGGGATAAATGGTGATGGGGAAAAGTGTGTTTTGGTAGGACCTTTTCTTACCTTCATCACTGTGGAGAGCAGTTCATATGAGCTAAGTCATCTGGAAAACTGACTTAAAAAATGGTTGAAAATAGGATAATTGACTGTCATTCACCCACAGTCTAACCTGTGTCTTTCCTTTCACGACTTTTTTCTCTTTAACCCGGAATTGACCTGGGATGTGTCTCTCATTTAAAAATGTTGTTATTCACTTGCTCATTTATTTGATTCAAAAAACCCCCAATTGAAGGTTTCAGATTTCAAGGAAGTCGGAGTCTGTAGTGGGGAAGTTCTAAGAAAGTGATTGATATGGGTCTTTGTTGAATCAGCTCTTTTGGGGAAGCAACAATGAGGTTTCTTCACATTAGGTGGTGAAGAAATGATTGCTAATTGATGAATTGGTGAGTTTTATCTCAAAAAGTTAATCCATCTCAAAAGCAAAAGGCAATTTTTCCTTTTTTCCGTGGGTGATGGTAAATAAAATCTAGTTCTTTATTCCCTGAAGGGCAGAGATTAGATTTTCTTTTGTAAATGGCCTTAGCACTGACCACATAGTAGTCACTGGAAATTACATATAAATACATCTGTTCTCCTTTGCAGGTTTTGATAAAGCTGATGGTTTAAAAATTTTAATTATTATTATTTTGGCTTTGGTTTTAGGATATCCTTGCACTGTGAATTTATTGTACTGGTTTTTTTATAGCTATTAATCAGCATTCAGAGAACAGGTTTCTATTTATTACAGTCATTTCAATTTACTAGCACTTACAGGCACTCTGTGAGGTGGTCAGGATTACTGCCAGGCTGTGGAGAAGAGGGTTCTCTGGTACAGCAGCGGTGTGGCTGGAGTTAGGACTAGAGTTAGGACTCACTGCTTCCGAGCCCCCACACCTTCACGCTGCTCAGCTGGCTCACTCCTCCGCCTTTCCTCCCCCCTTTCCTTTCCTGAAGCCAGCACTCTTAATAATCACAGCAAATGCTGGAGCACTGGGAGCTGGAAACTGATCTCTGGCCTTTATGAAAGGATTGCTTAAAGAGAGAGTTGTAGCTTATTCAAACTGATGAAACTTTCAACATCACTGATACAAAAAAGAAAAAAAAGCATAATGCCATCATCTCTCAGTTTGGCAATAAAGATGTCAGTGCCAAATTGTGCTTGGTGAGCAGGAGGAACATTTGAGGGAGTTAAAAACTATCTAGTATACATACGTACATAGGTGCATATACAAATGTATATCTATTTATTATTCTGATGTGGGAAAAGATGATTGTAGTGTGTGTGTAAAGGTGTTTACAAATTTATTTTATTCAGAATCTAGGGCCTAAACCTACCTGTAAAACTGACTTCACACTTGAGTTTTCCCCCAGCTTTAACCAGTCCTAATATAGAGGGTGAGGATCACGGGGTTCACATCTAGAATAGTTGAGATAGTAACTCTGTGTCATTGCAAAGGCGGGTGGCTGAGAGGAAGGTAGATTTTGCATTGATGAACTCAGGGCAGGCACTGTTGCAGTGCAGGACCTGGAAGCCTCAGAGCTAGGGCCTATGTTTCTTTACCTGTGGGTTCCAGACCCCTGGGGGACAGGGCTGAACCAGTGGTGGCAGCTATGGCTGAATGCATATGTACACCAAGCACCATCTTTTTCTTTTTTAAATATGTTTTTATTGATTTTTAGAGAGAAAGGGAGAGGGAGAGAGAGAAACATTCATCGGCTGCCTCCTGCATGCCTTCTACTGGGGATTGAGCCCTCAATCCAGGCACATGCCCTGACCAGGAATCGAACTGGTGACCTCTTGGTGCTCAATCAACTGAGCCACAGCAGCCAGGGCACCAAGCATCATCTTGAGACTAAATGAGTCATAATAAATAAATACATTGAGCACTTCTTATGTGCCAGGTACTTTGCATGCATTACCTTGTTTAATTCTTACCACATCTCTGGGTTGCAGTTAGGCTTATAGAGGTGGAAAAACTTGCCCAAAGTTCATGTAGGAACTTTAGGTAACAACTGGGTTCTGGGAAATTTTTGATGTTGAAAAGAGACTTTTTAATTTAAAAAGCTGGAATGGCAAATAAATCTTAATTTGTACATCAAAGCCAATTAAATAGTAATGGCCATCTCTGTTGGGTGGGAAGGGTGGGAAGGCCCCTCAGGCTGGGGGAGGGAGGCTGCTGGGATCAGTTCATGCTGGCTGGGTTGGAGGGAGGAGATAGTGGTATAAGTGCTATGTATTTATAGGCCCTGCTCAAATTGTATTGCAAGAAGAGCTTTAGTAGTCATGGAGGTCAATCTTTTCAGTTTCTCAAAGTGGAAACTGTGCCCCAACCTGGGAATTTTTCCCTCATGTGATACCCTGCATCTGGGACAGCTTTGTTTAGAACCCTGGTCTCCTAGCTCCCAGTCTTTAGCATTATGGATAAATCCAAAACAGTCCTTTTAGATGAGAGGAGGTGATTCTCAAGCTTTCCTGAACTTTTAAAACGGCTTGAGAGTAAAAGACTGTCAGCCAGATCCTCTCAGCATCACAAAGCCCCTCTTCACAGAAAGATGGATTAATTCTTGCAGACTTCAGCGTCCCTGAAGAGCACTTCAGGAAGGATTCACCACCGAGTTCCCTGGGGACATCTAGCTGTTTGGCTCAATGTTTACAGAGAATCCACTCTGGACATAGAGGAGAGGGAATGACAGCTGCTCTCCAAAGCCCAGAAGCTTAGAGAGAGACATGGATAGTGGCTGAGGAACAAACTCTGTAGGACTTTACTCCAGTGGGCAGTGGACTTTGGAATCAACAGAGACGTGGATACTTTTTATATCCCTTGGGCCATGCTCTGCTATTCAGAAACGGGGGACCTCATGGGCTGCATGGATGTCCCTGGCAGTCATCACACAGGGGAGCTCCCCATCAGGTAAATGAGCCCGTTTGTAGGTGTGATCACCTCTTCGTCTGTCAGCCTCTCTCACTGGCTGCTCCCCCAGCTCCAGGCTCTTGTTGTTCTCCAGGCTGATCCTTGGGTACTATTATCATCCCATACTTGTAACAGCCAAGGAGCAGCCCTGGTCCTGTTCTCCATGGATAGAGAGGCCCTCAGCAGGTAACCAGCATATTGGACATGGCAGGCTTTTGAGGATAGACTGCATTTTTGAGAACTTAGGACAATCAGCTTCCAGTTTTCCCTTGAATATTACATAAGGCAAGCACAATAGTATTGCCTAATGGTCTTTGCCTCAAGTTATATGCTGTGAGTCCCACTGACTTTTCTTGAAGTCTGGAACAGATCAGCCTGCACCTCTGGGATTTTTCTTGCTGTACTCTCATCCTCTTTACCAGTTAAAATACTAAACAAGCTCATCTGAGTATCCAGTGGAGTTGTCACATGATGCATTTTTCTAAAACTACTCTGATTCCAGTCTCTGTTGTTGCTTACAGATATTCTGGAGGCATTCTCTGCATGTAGTCACTGCTATGGTTGCTAATTTCCTATCAAAGCATTGCAGACCGTAGCAGATGAGCTTCACCCCCTTCTGTGCTTGTCCTAGACCCAGTGAAAAGTCTTTGGCTCAGCAGGGACACCCAGGGGAGCCGTGCCTTGAATGTTCTTACAGACTGCTCTGCTCTGACTCAGCCCATGCTCCTGAATGTGGGGCTGCGAGAAGGGTCAAGGACACTGTGTCAGTCACATTCCTTCCTTTCATATGCACTGATGGATGAATGGGCAATAAGAGCAACCCACTAAAGTAAGATGCTCCCAGAGTATATGGCTGCAAAGAAAGCAACTTCTAATTCTGAAACCCCGTGCAAGCCAACAGGAGGCCTGTTCTTTGCAGAGGAACAATGGCTCTCCTAAGAGGATATTTTGTTTCTTGAAACTGAAGTTGCTTTAAAAATGTGGACAGAATTATTAGTCATGTAGAACCCAAATCCCCTGGTATTCACTGCACTGCACTGAATCTGGCACAGAGGCATGTGCAGGTGTAGTGACCTTCTGCTTATAATGAAGTTGTTTGTGGGCCAAAAAAATGAGTTCACTTAGAGATGCCCTCCGCATCCCCTGATTCATATATGCATTGATCTGGATAACAGAGCTTTCGAGAAAGCAAATCACAGGGTGGGGCCACGCACCCTTTCTCTTGCAGCCCTTTGGTTCACAATTATATTGTTAAACTTAGGGAACCACAGCCTTCTTCATGGAAGGCTGCAAATCATTCCACATGTTTTGAAATTGTTGAGGTAATGCACCAAGAATACTTTACAGGGAAGGTTTGCCAGCATTTCTCTAGGCAACCTTAGCAGTTAGAGATGGAGAACGTAGTAAAGTGCTCTGGGTAGAATCCAGAGGTTGAAGTAGAAATCACACAGCCCAAAACTCTCAATTACAGTTGAGGAAACGGGGGCACAGAGAGGTGAAGTAATTTGCCAAGGTCACCCAGTTAGGCAGTGGCGGCACCTGGACCAGAGCCCAAGTTTCTCAACTCCAGGGCAGTTTCTGCCTCACCTTTCCTTTCTCTTCCAACTAATTTACCCTTGAAATGAAGAAAGAGACCGAATCTACTGGAATATTTATCAAAATATAGTTCACAACCACTTAGGTCTGAGTCACCTTGGATGCCTTTAAAATGCAGATTTCTGGGATTTGTCCAGACCTACCAAATAAAATTGAGGCCTGGGTATCTGCATTTTCACGAGCTCCCTAGTGATTTTATGCACATTCCTTTTGCAAATCATCCATCCAGAGTCTATAAATAGGCAGGTGGCACGTGGCAGGGAACGACCACAAACTTTTAGCATCACTGAACTTACCTTGAGAATCCAATCCTTCATTGTTCCTTGCTGTTCCTCGGGCCAGCCCTGTAGTGAGCTGAATGGTGCTAAGGAGGGTTCAAAGAGCAATTGCCCTGGCCTTCCTGTTTTCCTAATGCCTGCTCTGGGCATAACTATAACTATTAATATTAGCTCTTTCGTTCCCACCTGGAAATATTTTTCTGCTGTATATTGCTCTGTTGTACTGGGTGGAAGGTAAATGAATGCTTTGCAAATATCCTCAAATAGGCAGGCCCACTCCAGACTGTTCGTACACAGTACCTGGCCTCAAAGTGTCTCTCAGTGAGTCTGCAGATAGTTTAGCCAGAGTCCCAATTACCTCTCCATGCAGGTAATTGTCACTTCTGCCATTTAAGTGAAATTTCATTGCTTACAGCAATAAATTGAGGTCCATATTTATGCTATCCCTGCTTCTATTCTTAGCATAGATTCAAAATTCCTTTTCTGTTGGGATACAGCTCTCAACTGTTTTTCAGTATGAATTTGGCTGGTTATAAATAAAATAATACCATTATTTCATTATTTTCCTTTGGCACTTAGACTTAAAATCAACAATGACAACAACAAAGACCCCTCTCCCTTTACCCCACGTCTGGGAGAGTTCCGTGTTTCACAGCGGACTAGTGACGACTGAGCATGATGTAGAAGGGTGATGTCATGGCACTTGGGAAGCCTTGCTGGGGAGTTGCATGGGTTTTGTGGTGTGTTTTTCAGCATGCTCTTTCCGACAAGGCTTGTGTGAAAGCCTTTGACCCAAAGACGACCTGCCTACAGGAGTGCCTGATCACCACCTTCCAGGAAGCCTACTTTGTTTCGGAAAGTTTTGAAGAAGCCAAAGAAAAGATGAGGTAAGCTTGTTTTTCCCCCATCTAGAGAAAACAACTTATTTTTCAGGCTCTGTTTCTCCCCTCTGTCTCTCATATCAGTCAGGGCCGATCGCCTATCCTCCTGTTTCTGTTTATTTTGCAGGGACTTTGCAAAGTCAATTACCCGTCCCTTCTCAGTATACTTCAATCCCTACACACAGAGTATTGAAATTCTGAAAGACACCAGAAGCATTGAAAACGTGGTGCAGGATCTCCGCAGCGATTTGAACACCGTGTGTGATGCCTTGAACAAGATGAACCAGTATCTGGGGATTTGATGCCTGGGACGAGTGTCGTTGCCAGCATGGCCTTTTAGGGGCTTAGTAGTCAATGTTCTATAACACCAATAACTTTCTGTGTCATGGCTTGGCTAGAGTAGGCATGCAATTATGTATATCTCTACCTATTTGTAACTTACTGTGTTAAAGTGTGAAATACCATTAAGAACCCAGTGACAGGTAACCACTCATAGTATGAAAGATTGTAATATGTTTAAATGTCTTAAACAGATTTGACATTCCTGCTTAGTATCTTTAACCAAACTGCATATATTTAAAATTTGTAATAAGTAGCCCTCTTATGACTAGTTTTTGACCTTTTCTTTCTCAGATCTGAGCCTGTCCTCTGTGTTCATTAGATAAAATGAAAATAGCAGTGAAACTGTCTCTCCTTTCTGTACTTTCACAGCATTATTTGAGATAAACTCAGAATTGCATGAAGCTTCCCATCACATTAACAAGGATTCAGTATTCTGTTTTGAAAGTTGTTGAGGCAACACACTAGTTGAAATGACTTTCAGGTTGAGTATTTATACGATGGAAGAAAAGAAAGCTTTTTAGAAATGGGATATATAGGTCACACTGACCTTGTAGAAACTAAGTTGTGGCATGCTTCCCAAAGCATGGGAAGGAAATCCTTCCAGAAAGGACATTGGGAAAGACTAAACAGTGGGTAATAAATCTTGGGACTATTAATTTTATGCTGGAATAAAGTGAATTATCATGCTCAGGTGTTTAACCCATTTCTTTTAGAGGGCAATAAAATCATAGAGCTTTGCTTTCAAAGGCGTGGAAATTGAGTCTCAGAGAGGTTAAGTGATTTGGTTGAAGTAGCACAGTTAGTTGTGCACCAACATTTATAGCCCATTTCATATTGCTTTTGAATCGCTAAGAAGTTTAGCTTGGTATATGCATGTATTTATGGGTAGTCAGAGAAGGGAAACTAATGCTTATCAAAGTGAATGTTTATCACTAAATAGGACTTGGTTTGTGATTAAGACGTGCCAACAGTACAGATGTTTCCTCTCACAGGCCCAAGCCAAGCCAGATCTCTGGGAGTCTTGTCTATTTGCCCAAAGTTTGGGCACATTTGGACAAAAAAAATAGTGACAAATTTTGGACAAATCTCTGGTTATGCTTGCCATAAGAGGTATAATCAAGTGATTAAGTGGAAAAAATAAACATGCAGAATAAGTGAATGAATTTCATCTTCTTCTGATTTTTTTCAACAAATACACCACCATTCACCTCATTCTGCTTTGGTGGCATAGAATCCTCGGAGGAGGAAAGGGGAGAAGAGAAAAAGCAGGGTAGGAAAAGAGGGTGAAATGACTCTTTTTGGAAAAAAAATATGCTTTTTACTGATTTTTAGAGAAGGAGGAAGGGACAGGGATAGAGAGAGAGAAACATCGATGAGAGAGAAACGTCAGTCGGCTGCCTCCGCACACCCCCTACTGGGGATCGAGCCTGCGTGAGCCTTGACCAGGGATCGAACCAGCGATCTCTAGGTTCACGGGTCAGTGCTCAACCGCTGAGCCTCACAGGACAGGCTGAAGTGACTTTTAAGTCAGCACTTCTAAAATATTTAATGGAGCAATTTCCAAGGATGTCCTTTTAATATGAAATCACGTATAATTTCAAGCCAATTCATAGTCTTATATGGGCCCATGATGAGACACACTTTTTGGACTAAATGTGTTTGGGAAGACCATGAGGAAGAGTTAAAACATACATCAGAGGTAGGGAAAATTAAAACGAAGAATCAGAGGCTTGAATATTGATTATCTTAAATATTGAGGCTCTTTCATTTCTGCAGGATTCTCAGAGCAACTGCATTTTGGAGAAAGGATTTGGTGGGTATAACATGACAATCATGCAATTTAAATGCTATTCTAAGTGAAAGACACAGTGGCTTGAAAAATTACTGGTGGTAGAGAAATTATGAACAAGTTGAACCAAACTAAAAGGATCTAGAAAGATCAAGTAGTTGTATTTTCAGTAGTTTTATAGATCCATAAATGCCTAGTTTCTTAGACCTTGCTTTGCTAGATCTAGATGATCCTGAGTGTTTACTTTTAAATACTAATCCAGAACACTAACCCGGAAATTTCCAGAATTTGTTGCTGACTTTTCTCTTAATGTCTGCCTTTTGTGTTGTTTCCATAATTTGGTGTTGCTTTAGGCGCCATTGACGCTCCTTCCATAAGTAGCTATCAAGCTTTTCCCTTCTAGCCTCATAAAAGGGGAACCTCTTATTTAAATGTACTGAAGGAAGAATTATATTTAATTGTAAGCAAATTCCCCCAACAAAAATAACATTTGAGCGGTCTTCCGATTGGCTTATAGTGACATCTTCAGTTTTCTTACATGTGCAAAATCTCTGTTGTTTCAAAAATAGAAGGGTCGCAAAGTAAATAAGCTTTCCCACAGAGCTTACATAGTTATCACACAAGGCAGAGGAATTACTGTACTCGATTCTTTTTTCAAAAAAAATATCTTTATTGATTTCAGAGAGAGGAAGGGAGAGGGAGAGAGAGAGAAACATCAACGATGAGAGTCCTTGATCGGCTGCCTCCTGCACACCCCCACTGGGGATCGAACTTGAAACCTGGGCATGTGCCCTGACCGGGAATCGAACTGCAGCCTCCTGGATCATAGGTCGATGCTCAACTGCTGAGCCACCCTGCCTGGGCTGTACTCAATTCTTTTTAGATTTGTTCTCCATTTGCAATAGCAGTTACCATGGTTTTCACCATGTGAAACAACGGGATCCTGGTTTTCATTTGTTGTGAGCATTTAACATGCAAACGCCATTACAACTAATGGTGGGAATAATCCTATAAAATTTAATAACCATCATAGGAAAAATGTTGGCAGAAAAAGTCCCCAAATGAAAACAGTGCAACAAAATAATCACAGCTAGTTTCTTGTCATCTCTGATACCTGCTCAGTGTAACCATTTGTCTCAATTATGCCTCATGACTTAAAGCTAAATTAAATAGATCCAAGGGCAATTATAAATTTAAACGTACTTGCTCACTGTCATCTCACTATGAATTGCTACTTTATTTTGGCTTTGCTGCTGACTTCAGTAATCAGCTCATCAGGAATCAACCTAAGGTTCCTAGCAAGACCAGGATTCCTACACATCACACTACGCAAAAGACAGAACCTGATCCGTCCAGTTTCCTTTTTGAACCATTTTTGTCATTGTGAGTTAGGATCAGGCATCCAGTATATTCTTAAATGATCAGTTTATCTTGCACAATAAGAGCATAATAGATTGTTCATAAGTTGCATCTTTTATGAGTAGGGAACTCTGATCCAAGATGGTTAAAAAAATTGTCTTTTAAACTTTAATGGTAAGGGTTGTGAAACTTGGGCTTCTGACTTAGTATTTATTTACTGTGTAATTTAGAAATGATGCTTTATGGGGATGATATATCAGTGCTTGTCTCGCTTGCACATAGTAAATGGGCCCGAGCCTAATGAATGTGAAGCATTGCAACATTTACCAACATGAAAAGTCTAAAATGGAAAACAGTGTGCTTTAACGTGCAGGCAAATAGAAATACAAAGTTTCATTTCCAAATGGAGTCATGGCTCACATCATCTCATTTTCTTCCTTCAAGGAGGAAAACATTAACACGAGATGTAGTTGCCCTCCAATTCATTTGATCTAATTTTCAACTTCTAAAGAATCCAGTGCTGGTGCTCACGCTCATGAACCTTGTCTTATAATGAAAAAGAGGGCAGCCCAGAGTTTTCCCATGTGTCTGAGTTTTTTCTCTCTTCTTTGTCAGTTTCCAAAGACATTCTCTTATTTTGGGACATGATTCTTAGGCAGATTTTCATATTCTGGGAAGTAGTAACGGGATACAGCTTCTTCTAATGCTAGATTTGCATGTGTTCAAAATGAACCAGCTCTGGAACGTGAAGCGGTGATTCTAGATGATGTTCCTTGAGGTATAACATTCACTCAGTGATTTAGACTGTATCAGACACTGAAGATATAGTTTATGTCCACTGCAAACTTAACGTTCTGGTGGAGAGATACAGGCAAAAAAGTAGATATTTTGATTAAGATCCTGGCAACTTTTATGAAGAAAATAACCAGGGTAATGGGATAAAGAAAATGGAGGAGGGTGGGTAGGAAAGACCTTCCTGAACAGATGGCGTTTGATGAAGAACCGTGAGAAGAGGCCAGGTATGAAGGGGGCTGTGGAGAGCGTTCCTGGAAGAGGGACCAGCAAGATCAAAGTCTCAAAGGCCGAAATGAGGTCGCTGTGTTTGAGGAAGAGGGAGCCAGTGGGCTGGAGAGGAAGGATAAGAGAGCAGCTTGGGGGCAAGGATGGATGATACAGGGACCCAGAAGGGGTCAGTCTACTCTGAATGCAGTGGGAAGTCCTGGAGGGCTGCAAGCATGACCGTGACGAGAGCTGATTCACATTTTTAAAGAGGTTACTCAGAGCGCTGTGTGGAAATGAACTGCAGCGGCGTTGGGGGGCGGGGGCGGGGGCCAGGGCGGAAGGGGTAAAGCCAGGTAGGAGCCGTTGCAATCCCAGGGATCCGCAGAGTCAACATCTTGCTGGCTCGTGGTGGACATTATTCGAAAGAGTTGTAATTAAATAGGTTACAAAGGTAAATGGGTCAGAACCGTCAGATGAAACACATTGGGGAAGCTGGAATAATCGGGGTTGGTTATTTGGCTGGAGAAGCGGACATCCAGTGATATCCTGTGTCTTTCGCAAAGACTAAAAGCTCCCTTTGTTGAAACAGCATCATGCTAAACGTGCCCTGGACATCTTTTAAGGACAAAAAGCCAGACTGGAAAGCAAATGCATTTTTTTTTCTTATGACTCACAGATGTTGACTGCATAAGCAAAAGTGAAGCAGAGAATGGGGAGCGTTTGGTGAAAGTTGGTGGCGCTGACCTATAGGGTCATTCAGGACAAAAAAACCTTCCTCACTTCCAGACAAACTAAATAGTTGTGTTCACTCTGGCCTTATCTGTGGGAATAGGCCACACAAATGTGAGTGAACTAGTTAAGTCTATTTCCACTCTTCTCGCTGCCTTTCCTCTCCCCAAATGTACACTTGAGATAACCCAGAAAGGTTGACTTGCTGTGATTTCTTCTCTCCGAGAAGGATGGGTCTGGTGCAGCAGCTGGAAGTATATTTCCTTCTTTGGGAAGATCGCAGTGAGCCTGATGTTCAACCCAAGGGCATCTGGGGTGATGGTGCCTGCAAACAGCATTCTCATACTCCAGTCTGGATACAGTTTTTATAACTGAACAACAAAAACATCTGACAGATGTGGTGGGGTAATTTGAAAACTAGATGGCACAAAGAAATCAAGTTCATTTTCTGTCAAAATCAAATCTTTAAAAAAGATGCAAAGCTAGTTCTCACTTTGTAGGTAGAGAAAGATAATACTAATTAGAGGAAGGTGGGAGGAGTGTCCTGGTCTCTCCTGAACTTCTCCCAGATCTCTTGCAATCTCCTCACTTTTTAGCTTGTTAATTTCCATGGAACTGGCAAGATGCTGATTCAGTAGGTCTATTATTCCCAAAGGTTTGCAAACCACTGAACACATCTAATGTACAGCTTGCCCAATTTTAGTGAACAGCTAACTTCACAGACGTTAATGAGGCCAATTATTGGCAAGTGAATTTGAAGTGAAGAACACATTAGGTTTGCCACTATAGCAGTTATTTGTTTATTGGGAT